CCCGACTCCTCCCCCTGTACCCCCAGCCCGGCCAGAACGGCCCCCGGGACAGAGCGACGCGGAACCCCGGGCGCCTGGGTCCCCAGCATGATCCTCGGTGAGTGGGCTCTGCGGCTCTGGGCTCCGGGCTCCTGGGTCCCTCTCAGTAGGTCACCCCCCCAACCTCCCGGCACCGCGGTGACTGCGGCCGCCCGTCAGCGACCGGCTCCCCCTCCCCCTTCATCTGGCTCCACATCTGGGGGTCCCCTCTTCCCCTCTTCCCCACGCTGCCGTCTCCCCGGGTAATTTAGGGAGTGGTGAAGGAGAGAGCAGAGCCGAGTGAGACCCCCGCCCCATAATGAGGATATTGCGTATTCATGAGGCTCATGAATATTATATGACGGTCTACGAGAGGCTGGGGGAGAGGGCTGGTCCTGGCCTAGTGGAGTTGAGGGAAAGGTTCTGACCCGTCCCCGCACACACTCTCCCTCCCCCACCCTTAGCTCAGACACTCCGACATCCTTCTGGGCCCAGGATAAGAGGGAAAGGAGGAAGTGGGGGGCGGGCGGGGAGAAGATGGTGGGTGTAGCTTCGAGGTGTGTGTGGTGGGAGGTGGGAACCTGAGGGCTGGAGATAAGGGGGCTGGGTAGAAGCAGGGGTGGGAAACTGTCCCCGGGGCCCCTGCGGCTCGGATCCTGTCTCCGCAGCCATCCTGCCCCAACACGCCGGGACCTGCCCCGCTCTCTCCTTGCTCTGGCTGCCTGGGCCCTTCCTTCCCAGCTTCCTTCTTCTTCCTTCTTCCCCCACCCCCACCCTTGCCTTGGGCCAGGGGCGCCAGGAGACAAGGGGCAATGGAGAGAGTAAGGATGGGGGAGGGGAGCCCCCGCGGGACTCTGACAACCCTTCAGCCACAGCCACCCCATCCTCATGACCTACATCGCGAGGGAGCCCCTGGGTGGGGGAGGAGAGGGACTAGCTGTGCGTCTGGACTCCTCCTCAGCTCCAGGGGCTCCAGGCCCCTGCCTCCACAATAGTAGGCTGGCCTGCTGTGTCCTCTGACCTCTGACCTCTGCCCTGGTTGGGCCGGTTCCTGGGCCCTGTTTATGATGGGAGATGCCCCCCCACAACCGGGCCCAGACACCTGTGGTCTCCCTGCCTCCCAATGGAGGGCTTGCCCGGCCTTTGCTGGGTCCCTCTGCAGTTTGTTCTTTGGCTTCCCTTCTTTCGTCTGATCCCTGTTGACTTCCCACTAGTGGTCTTTCTCCCCTTCTGCCCTCCTTCCTCTCTCTCTTTCTCTCCTCCTCCTGTACCTCCTCACTCCTTCACCATGTTACGTCTGCCCGCTCCACCTAACACTCCACTATACCTATTCAGTGAATGAGGGAACAGAGGCGTGAATGACTGGTGCCTGCCTCCTTCCCATGAGTATCTCCAGCAAAGAAGAGACTCCCCACCCAACTATGAAGACTATTCCCAGCCTAAAGTGACCCTCACCATCACATCTGGGACTCAGGTCCCCAAAGCACAGGCCCCACATTCTTCCAACGTGTGCAATCCCTGCATGTTGGCCCCACCCTGGACGCAGGCTCCACCCTGGGCACGGGCCCCAGAGGGAGCATCGTGCTTTTCCGGAATAAACCAGTGTGAGCCACACTTGCCCTGGTCAGTGGGCTCTAAAGACGACCTCCGAGACCTGCTCAAGCCTGACCAAGACCCCACCACAGGAAAAATGCCTGGGTGTGCCAACTGGACCCCCACCACATCTGCCCGATGTGGGACAGGACACTGTAGTTAACTCCCTCCTTGTGCCCACCTACAGAGGGGCGGGAAGCCTGCTGGCCCACACGCATGTTAGCCCTCTGTGAGGAAAGGAGAGAGGGAGGAAACTGCCAGCCAGGGCTCAGGCCTTGCCCACCCCCCTCCCCCCACCCACCCACCCCGGGCCATGCCATTGTAGGCTTTCAGCTTCCAAATACTGAGACCCATTGAGTCCATGTACGTGGTGGCCCTGACCAGCAGGTGGGGCCCGGCCTACCTGCTTAAGATCTAGACCGTGGGCCCAGGTTTAAGCAGATGGTGGTTCTGGGCTCCGTTCCTTGTTCTGGGCCTTTCTTACTGTCCTCTCCAACTGGGTCCCATGGGGAGAGGGGGCATCCAAGAAGGCCCTGTCCTGTCAGGTTGGGAAGATTTCCCAGGGATCTTCCCTCTCTTCCCTTCCTGGCCACCTCCTCCCTTTAGGCCCCGCCCCCGCCTACATCCACCCTGGGGTTATTAAGGATGATGTTTTAAGTAGTTGTTCATAATCATCCCCTTGTTCCTTTAATCTTTGACTTCAAAGCCTTTCTAGCCCTCAACCTGCCTCCTGTCCAGATGAGGGAAGTCAAGGCAGAAAGGAACAGAAACATGGGATTTGGTCAAGAACCCAGGACGCAGGAGTTCAAGGCTCTCCCCTCATTCCCCAGTTTCAGGCACTGCTGGGGAGGGAGAAGAGGCCAAAAGGCCTGAAGAGAAAAAGAGATGGATTAGAGATGAGATCCCAGTCCAGTCTCCAATCCAGTTCCTCCCTTGGCTCCGGAGTCTAATTCCCCCATCTTAACCCAGTGCTGATCCAGGCTTTTCACCACCTGGGGTTAGGGCCCTAATACAACTTGCAACCCTAACGCCAACCATATATCTCGTCTCACTCTCATCCTGGCCCAACCTCCAAGACCAGCACTAACCCACAGCCCTACCCTAACACCTCTCCTGGCTCCTGTTCTTACCAGACAGGACCCCTCCCTGAGCTAGCTCAAGGCAGACACTCCCCTTCTTTACTACAAGGGCTCGAGGCCCCAGACCTGACCTAAGACAGCCAAGGGGCTGAGACTCTGACCTGGCCAAAATTTCTGGGAAAGGGAGGAAGAAAAAGACCAGATTTCAGCGGGATGGAAGGAGTTGGATGTGGCTTGGTTGTGGCTCGGTGTGAGTGGGATCAAAGGGCCTAGGGCTAGGTAGGACCTAGAAAGAGACAGATGGACATCCACCCAAGGGTCTGAGAGTTCATCCCCTCTAAAGTGCATTGGGAACTGTCTTTAATAAAGCATTTGGCAATTCCCCCACAGAGCTGGGTGGGGCTCTATCTGCTGGAGGTAATTACTCTAATGAGCTTCCCTCTGGAGTGGCCTGCCCCAGCCAGGCCCCAGCTCCTCCCTGCCCTGCCTGACTTGTGTGCCATGCAAGAACACGTGCATGCATGTGTACACACACACACACACACACACACACACGCATGCACGCACTCCAGTTCGATATCCTACCCCCCCAAACCTGCCCGAAGACCTCACCTAGTCAGATGTCAGAAGCCCTGGATTTCCTGCTTCCCCAGACCTTACTATGTACCTGCCTTTCCCTCCAATACCCCATCCCTAGTCTACCTACAAAAGTGTAGTGCTTGAAAACCCTGTCTCTGGGGCCAGACAGACAGGTTCACATCCCTCACTAGCTGTGTGACCTTGGTCAAGTAATTCCCCCTCTCAAAGCTGATTGTCCTCATTGATAAGATGAGGACTCATTCATTTAACAAACATTTATTTAGCTCCCTTTGTGGCATGCCAGCAATTTACATAGATTCAATCCTCTCAACAACTCCTTGAGGCAGTACTATTGTTCTCATTTGCCAAATGAGCTAGTTCCCCAGCTTCTGAGCAGTGGAGACAACCTCAGGGAGACGGTGTAGGTGTATGTCCAGTGACTGGCACGTAAAGAGCCTTCAAAAAGTGGCAACTATTATGGAGCGCCCGGGTGGCTCAGTCGGGTAAGCGTCCGACTTTGGCTCAGGTCATAATCTCGCGGTTCATGGGCTCTGTGCTGACAGCTCAGAGCCTGGAACCTGCTTCGAATTCTGTGTCTCCCTCTCTCTCTGCCCCTCCCCCGCTCACGCTCTGTCTCTCTCTGTCTCTCAAAAATAAACGTTAAAAAAACAAGTGGCAACTATTAGTATTGTCAGAAAAAGGGAGAGGGGACTGAGGCTTGGGCTTACCTGAAACGAGAGAGCTCTGCTTCTGCCCACTCGGCCCGTGAGCTGCCATCTGCCCCTCTCCTCGTCTCATAGCTCAGTAGACCCAAAAATGGGGAGACACACGAATGTCCAGTTACCCACCTTGCTTCCTTGCCTCACTCCATCCTCCCTCCCCCTTCCCCCCCACCCTTTTCCCTCCTGGGTTCTTGTCCTAGAGGAGAGGAGTTGCTGGCCATAGGGCACTGAATCACTGCTGTTTGTTTTCCTCCAACCCCAGGAAGGTGCAGGGACCTTCCTCTCCTTGAACAAGATGGAAGTCTGTGCTGGGACCTCCATCCCTTCTGAGTGACACTAGAGTCCTCGGGGGTTATGTAGCAGTGACAGAATTTGCAGCAGATCTTGATTTAGCTCCCAGCTCTGATACTTACAGGCTATGTGACATGAGCCAAAGTTTTTAACTCCTCTGAGCCTCAGTTTCCTCGCACGTCAAGTGGGAAAAATAGTATCAGCTACCCCCATAGAATCATAGCTGCCTCAGAGATTAAATGTGATAATACTCAGAACTCATTACCTGGCACATAGCGGCTCCATAATACGTATCTTCTTCTATTTCCTTTTCCAGAACTCATCTGTCTCTTCTGAGATGGGGGCTTGAGGGAATGGGGGCTTAAGAGAATCTAGAGCTGGGAAAAGGGTCAAGGAGCTGGACTGCTCTGGGGCGGGGCAAGTGCCAGCCCCAAACCAGCTGCTAGGGGTGGGTGCTGGGTGCCGGGGACTCTGGGAGCGCTCAGGTTTCTCTCACCATTCCTGATGCTGCCCGGGGCTCGTTAAGGCTGCCCTGGTCTGGTGTGCCAGGCTTGGGGTGGAGGGGGGGTGTTGTGCATGGGGGGAGGAGCCCTGAGGGGACAGACCAGGAAGGGGAGGTGGTCAAACTGCCCCTCAGACCATCTGTCCCTCTCTTCTCGCTCCCTTCCTTGCTCTCTGCTCTTTGTCAGTCTTTCCACCCTGGGGTCTAGCCCTGTGTCCAGCTTTTCTGCAGTCTCTTTTTTTCTCTCTCATTTCACTGTCTTCCATCTCTCCATTGTTCACTATTCTTTTCTCTCTCAGTATCTCTGTCCCTTTTCTCAATCACTTACTCCGGCTTCTGTCATTTTTTCCCCATTCTCTCTCACTCACTTTTGTCTGTCTCTTCTCTCTCTCTCTCTCTCTCTCTCTCTGCTCTCCCCCTACCCCATCTTAACTCTGAGATGGCAGAGGAGGGAATGGACACAGGGTGTACAGACCTCCAGCTGCCCAAGAGCCAAAGCCAAGCATCCTGCCCTTTCCTTCAAACCCTTAGCCCTCTAGAGCCCAAGCTTGACCTCAGGGACCCTGGCCACCCACCCTGGCAGAAGAGCCAGACCCCTCCAGACCTTTCTGGACCAGCTCCCTGCCCCCAGCTGTGCCTGAGCCCTCCCCACCCCCTCCCTCTCGCCTCCGATTCCCTAATCCCTGCTCCCCCGCCCTCCCCTCTGCCCCACTTTTCCAGGACTCTGATTGGCTGATTCTACTGACTGGACTTGGGGGGGAGGGGGCTGGCAAGGGAGGGGGCAGGGGGCAGAACCAAGGGAAGGGGACGCTGTCAGGCCCAGGCCCCTGGGGGGCCGGGGCCAGGCCACTGCCTGGGGGCAGCAGGCACCAGAAACTGAAGGTATGCAAAGGGGCAGTCTCTGTGGAGGGAGCAGGGAAGGATCCTGGGGTAGCCTCTGCCCCAGTAAGGTCAAGGGAGGACGGGGCCAAACTTGCAGCCTCCTGGCTTTGCCTTTGTTCCTGGGAACCCCTGTTGCTGGCAGGGGGTTGTTAGAGCAGGGAAGGGCAGCCAGGATTCCCTGACTGGTGGACAGCGAGGTCACAGAAGGGAGCTGGGCTGGCGGAAGCCCAGAGGGGTCCTCAGGGCCTTTGGCCTCCTCCCACTGGAGCCTGGCAAGGTTCCTCCCATGGCTCTGAGGGGAGGAGAAAAAGTTTCAGGGGAGGGTGGGTAGTGGAGTGGCTGGCCTGGACTTTCATTTCCCCTTGGGGTCAGACCCAGGCATTCCCCTTCCAGAGGCCCGGGTGGCGGTTCCTCCTGCGGTGCTGGAGCTGAACACTCTCAGGGAGACAAGGGGGTTTGGGGGGAGACAGGAAGGTTGGGAGAAGGGGCTCTGAGAATGGGGCCAGGCAGTCCACCTCCCAGGGCAAACGCCACTCACTTATCACCTACCCCCAGAGATGTCAACAATTAACTAAGAACAGCCAGGACAGATCACAGTTCTTTGGGCAGCCCGAGAGACTCAGCGGCCCTCTTCCAAATCGAGACCTCAACATTCCCCTCTGGGCAGTGGGAGGAATCACCCACCTGACCCTGTCCCCCCTGGGGTGAGACCTCGCCTTTGGGATTCCTTGGGGAAAAACAAAACCAGAAGAAGGGAGTGGCCAGAGCCGTGGGGCTCCCTGAGTCCTGCTGATCCAGCAGAGAAGGTCTGTCCTCTTCCTGGGTTTGTAAAATGCCTAAAGGTCTTGGGGGAGGGAGGCTGGAGAAGGGGGAAGTGAAAATCACCCAGAAGGGAAGGGCTGGTCTGCACTCTCCCCTGGGCCCACAGGGCACCGTGCTCCATTGCTCCGGAGCTAGCAAGCAGGGGAAGTGTGTGTGCGCATGGGGGTCACACTTCTGAGTGTGGGGGCCCCAGCCGGGGAGTGGGACAGACAGGTTTGGGTGGGGCTCCCAAGCTTCAATCTTCCTGCCCCACGTAATGTTTTCTCTGCCCTTCAGGCAGCCTGAGCCGGGCAGGGCCCCTCCCTCTGCTTCGGCAGCCCCCCATCATGCAGCCCCCACTGGACCTCAAGCAGATCCTGCCCTTCCCACTGGAGCCAGCCCCCACCCTGGGCCTCTTCGGCAACTACAACACTGTGAGTAGCAGCCTGCCTGCCCACCTTACCCTCCTGAGACCCCAGCTCCTTCCTTCACTCTGACTCACCCCTCCCTGCTTCTCCTATCTACTTCCTTATCTTGCCTTAGGACCCCATCTCCCCGGACTTCTAGTCTCTAATCAGTTACAAGCGTTGTTGGCTATCTGGTATACTATTAACAACAATAACAATAATAGCTCCTATTTGTTGAGCCAGACCCTGTGCTACATGTTTTATATGAATCATCTCACTGAGTCCACCATCTAGAGAAGCAATGAGACCCAGATGGGTGATAGTGACTACAGGGAGGTGGGAGGGGTGACAGGTGCCGAATCCAGAAGGAAGAGATAAGCAGGGTCACAAGCCTGCCTGTTTGTAAATTCTAGCTCTCTGGAACCCACAGTTGGGTGGGGAGGATCAGTGGGGTAGGGCTTAGAGGCCTGGCAAAGTTGTCTAGATTTAATACAGTATGAAATAGGGAGCCATTATCCATTGTTAAGCAGCAAAATGACTTTGTCAGAGCAGTGTTTGAGGAAGGTGATTGGGACAGCTGGATGAAAGGGAGCAGAGGCTGGAGGAGGCTGTCCCACCAAGGTGGGCCTGAACGGCAGCCTGGAAGGCCACACCGGGCCAGTGGTAGTGGCAGTGTGAGTATATAGGAAGGGGTAAAGGCAAGGGGTTTGTTTCCAAGGAAATATTCCTAGGCCATGGTGACCAACTGATATTTGGGGGTAGGGGAGAAGAGAGAGGATGAGTCAAGGCCGACTCCAAGATTCAAACATCTGTGGCTAGGAGGGAGAAGTCACCTCGACAGAGGCAAGGGTTTAGAGGAAGAAGCTGGTCTGGGGTGAAGCTGTGAAGCTCACTTTAGGACATGGCGAGTTGGTGAACCAGTGGGACATTGAGCCAAAAACGTCCAGCAGGCAGTTGGAATTTGGGTCCTAGAAAGTGGGCTAGAGCTGAAGGTTCAGGGGAAGTCGGCTTTAGTCCACGCAAATAACCCACCATCAAACCATATTCAGCTGCAAACGTGTACTGAGTATCAACCATGCAGCAGGCACTGCCATAGATGTTTCTATACCTGATCTCATTTCGTCTTCACCTCAACCCAACAAAGTAGACGTTGTTATTCCTGTTTCGCTCGGGAGGGACTAGTAACTTATCTACGTTGACATAGTATGTGCCTAAGGTATGATTTGAACCCGTAGCATCTGACTCCAAATGGAGTTCTCTTTATACCACAGCTGCTTCCTCCAAACTCCTCCCAAAGAATCCAAACCAACATCTGCACTACACTCTGGAGTTTACAAAGTATCCTTCATATCTTAGTCTTTATAGCAACCCTATAGGGTAGCTATTGTTTAATCCATTTTACAGATGAGAAAATGGAGTACTGACTATAAGCAAGGCACTGTTTTAGATAAAATAGAGACGTGAGGGTAAACACAATACGGTTCAATTTTAAGAGTTTGTGGGTTGTTTTTTTTTTTAATGTTTACTTTTGAGAGAGAGAGAGAGAGAGAGCACAAGCAGAGGAGGGGCAGAGACAGAGGGGAATAGAGGATCCCAAGTGGGCTCCGTGCTCACAGCTGGAGAGCCCGATGCGGGGCTCAAATTCACGAACCTGCGAGATCATGAGCTGAGCTGAAACCAAGAATCCGATGCTTAACCGACTGAGCCCCCCGGGCACTGCTGATACGGTCCAGTCTGGAAGGAGCTTCTATTCAGGGGAGAAATACAGAAATGTATGCAGCAATCTAGAACGCAAAACAGAGGCAGAGTTATAAATATTGTGACAGAGAAACCAATGATGGTTCAAGTGAACAAAAAAAATTTTTGAGCACCTACTATGTGCTGGGCACTGTACCAGGTGTCAGGGACACAGGACTCAGCCTGTGCTCCTGGGGAGCTCATGTTTAGTAGGAAAGATAACAAGTTAACAGTTACCCTGTAGGGTGAAAAGAGCTGCGTCAGAGGCATTTAGCTTGTATGGGAGTCCAAAGGGGTGTCAGGAAAGACTTGCTGAATGAGGTGGTGCCTAAGGGACCAACCAGAGCTGAGCAGGAAAAGGAGAACAGAGGAAAAAGGGATTCAACCCGGAGCAGGTGACATAGGATTTGGGCTTTGAAGAATTATTAGTAGGATTTTAAAAGGGGCCTTAGAGAACATTCCAGACTGAAGCAAATAGCATGAATAAGAGCTAGAAAAGAGCACTTGAGGGGGTCCAATTGATTCAGTTCGACTGGAGCAGAAGGTGCTGGGAATACTTCCCCCATCTACACACCTCATTGACGCTTGCCCTTAGGTCTCTCATCATTTCCCCCATTTTATAGATGAGGAAACACAGACCTAGAGAGGTTAAGTGACTTGCCCAAGGTCACAAAGCCAGGCAATTCGCATGGGTAGTTCAGGGTTTCTCATTCCCCCAGGGTTCATGGCTCAACTGCCTCTAGTGAGGACTAGCTATTTAAAGCCATGAGCCCTGCTAAGCTAGGAGAGTGCGGCAGGGTGTTGAGCAGCACCAGCTCTGGCATCTGACTGGCAGGATTTGAATTGACATTCCGAGAGCACTGGCTGTGTGACCTTAGGCAAATGGCTTCACTACTCTAAACCCGAATTTTACCAGATAGTAATAGTACCGACTCACAAGGCTGTTGCGAGAATCGTATTACATAATCAGAATAGCTAGCACAAAGTGGATGTCTGGTGCTGGCGGCTATGATTATTATTATGTCATTGCTATTATTTTTATTTAAGAGAGGACCAGAGAGAGAAAGGCCAAGACTCAGCCTTTTGGAATAAGCAGAATTAGGTAGTAGGAATAGGAGGAGGCTCCAGCAAAGGATGTGGGGGAGCCACTGGAGGGGGGTAGGGATGCAGCCTGGTGCCTGTAGAGTTGGAGAAGCCAAGGGAGAGAGTGTGGCGGGCTGCATCAATAGTGTCAAATTCTGCAGGGGAGTGAGGACTGCAGAAAAGCTGCAGACAGACCTTTGGCAGTACTGTGCAGCAGTTAAGTACATGGCTTTGGAGTCAGGCTGCCCAGGTTTAAATTCAAATCCCAGTTCAGCCACTTACTAGCTTATGACCTTGGGCAAATTATTTAACCTCTCTAAACCTCAGTTCCCTCGTCTATAAAATGAAGATAATAATAGTACTTATTCTGAATAGTGGTTGTGAAGATTAAATTAGATAATCCATGCAAAGAGCTCAGTACAGAGGCTGGCACATTCCAAGGGCTCAGTCAACATTAGGTGGTGGTGGTGGTGGTGGTATTATTCATGGCTAATGGATTCTGGACTAATACAATACCTCCAGATCTCTCTCCTACTGGGGCAGTTCCTACCCCTTAGACCCTTCCCTGTATTATGCTTTCCTCTGCCCTTGGACGTCTCTCATTGTCTCCCAAAGACAGCCTCTCTCTACACTCAGTCCGCTGCTTCACTCATCTCTCTGTCCTAGACGGAATGGGAGAGGGTGAGAACCAGAGATGATAGAGCGGGAATCCTAAGACCTATTCGGAGAGGATGAGGAGGTGTCTGGGGGAGGGAGCAGCTCTGCCCTCCTGCCCCTGAGCCCCCAGTGCTGCTCCTACTTGACCGCCAGAGGGCAGCAAGTGCACGAAACATAAGCTCTTTGGGAACCTAGCTGTCCAGCAGGTGGCGGGCGAGGGGAGGAGATAGGAAGAAGAGGTTAGGGACGTTGTCCCCAGTATGAGGTCGCTTCTGCTCTGGGCGCCTCTCAGCTCCACCTTTCAGAGGAATCACTGAGAGAGCAGTGCCTGACACCTAGGTACCTGGGCTCCATTTCCCATCCCTAGTAAGGGAAGTGACATGTAAAAAGGGCACAGGGGCCGTGTGCAGAGGGAACACGAGTCTGGGGGCTCGGAAAAGGGGTTGTCAACAAGGGAGCGAGGGCCAGGGTGGAAGGGATGGAAGAAAGGAGAAATGTCCGAGCTAGAGAAATAGAGCCGTCCATTAGGGTTGGTGGGGACAAGGAACCCAGCAAGGATTCTCAGTGGAGGAAGCCGAGGTCACCTGGTCAATGCCCAATCGCCGGACCGAGCAGCCCCTCACCAGGACAAGGTCTACCACCCTGGAACGAGTATCCGGATACGGACACCCTCTCCTCTCCTCTTTTCACCCTAGCCCCCCTTCCTCCTGCTCAGGCTCCCTAGCCCCGCCCCCGTCCGCGGCCCGCCCTCGGCCCCGCCTCCGGGGCGGGCTCCGGTCCCGGCCGGCACCGCCTCCCCTTCTCGGGCCGGCCCGGCCGCACAGCCCCGAGCCACCCGGGCAACGAGCGCCGCGTCCCCGGCCTGCCCGGCCCGGCCAGGCTCGGGTGCCCCGCCCGGGTCCGCCACCCCGGGCCATGGAGTCGCGGCCCCCGGGGTCCCGCAGGGTAAGCCACCCGGCCCCTCCTCTCTCCCTGGCTCCCGCCGCTGCCGCAGCGCCCCCCCACCCTATCCCCGCCCGCCCCTGGCGGGCGGGCTACCTCTCCTTTCGCCCGGTCCTCGGGTTATTTGGCCCATCCCCCATAACTGGCGCGGTCCCTGCCAATCTCTGGATCCCAGCTGGCCCCCCCAGACTACTGCCACCATACTGGATACCCCCACCTCTGCTTCTCAGATCCTTGGAGTCCCCCAAATCTTCAGACTTCCCATCAGGTCTTACATGTACCCTCAAATTACCACGCCGCTTAGATCCTTCTTATCCCATCCCGGCATCTTTCCTTTTCCCAGCATCCCTCCCCCACGAGCTTCCACCTGCTCTTTAGACACCCCCTAGCTCACTCTCTTTCCTATTTCAATCCTTCCTGTCCCTCTGGTCTTCCCATCCCCGAGATTGCACCCTCCTTCTCTTTTCACCTTTATTTGGGGGTGGGGGGGAGGATGGGGAAGTGGGGTGGTCAAACATGGGGCAGCGGTTTCCATCAGATAAAGGGCAATGGAAGGAAATATAATCATGGCCCCCTCTCCTGTTCCTGATCTGGTTTCCTCCCTTCCCTCCCCCTTGCCCTTCCTGATTCATTTTGCCCCAGCTTTAGGGAGCGATTCCCCTTCATGTCTGCTGTTGGAGGGCAGGTGGGAGAGGAATGTTTTGTGGCCCTTTCCAGGCAGTGTCTAGGCCAAAATCCCAGGGTAGGGGCTCTGGAGTGGGATGGGCTGTGGGAGATGTTGGCCTCCACCCCTCCCCAGAGAGCCCTCATCTAGGTCACCAGGGCCTCTTGACCTTGGCCTGGAGCGGCACTTCAGTGGCTCACGTTCCACCTGCACAGGGATTGGGCCCAGGAGCCCTCACCTTCAGCCTGGTGTCTCCTCAGTTCCTGGAGGAGAGGGTGGGAAGGACCCATGGCGCACTGGGTTGATACTCTCTTTCTCACCACTCCCCAACCCCTGGTTGGTGTTTATGGACTTAAACCTGAGGAGGAGTGTATGCAAGAGAAAAGGCTTTCACTCTGGAAGAGGGACCCAGGTGGGGCAGGGACCATTCTCCTGGGATGTATGTAGGCATGGTCAGCCCACAGGTCGTCCTCAGGGCACTGTGGGAAGCAGGCTGGGATGATGGGTGGGGCAGAGACAGAACCCTGGCCTCTGCTGTCCCCTCTCCATCCCACTCCTCTCTCCCTAGTGCTGTCATCGACTTAGGTTTCCTGGCCTAGATTGGGTTTCTGTTTGGGCTGAATTCCATTCCCCACCCAGCATATGAGGAAGTCCAGGGGCTGAGGAGAACCCTGGGGCAGGGGGAGGGGGTGTCTCTGCATAGGGAGGACTGACACCTGGAGACTGGGAGCTGAGAGCAGGCATCTGTCTCCCCTTTCTGATTAAAGCCTGTCTCCAACTTGGTCTGTCTTTATTTCTGCCAAACACATCATACATTCACACAGATAAACACACAGCTGAAGATTGCACAACCTGACCATTCATGGCATCGGCAAAGCCCCCGACACAGAAATGTTGATACATAAATGATGTGCACACAGCACATGACACTCCTTCACACTCCACCCATGCACAGATTGATCACAGCCTGCCCAGACACCCGCAGTCACACCCCTTCTTCCCCTGTTTGGCTTTTCTTTGAATAGGACCTGGGCTTCCAGGAGGTGAAAAGTGAGCTACTTTCTGAAAGGGGCTGCTTCCAGCCAAGGGCAGGCCAAGAGATGGACACTTGTCAGCCAGACGAGTCATCTGAACTTGGTCATGGCTCCCGCCTCTACGTCTACCAAATGAGGCAGCCCATGTCACAGGGGTGCTAAAGCCCCCTTCCAACCAGCCAGTGAGACTACTGGGGAGAGCCAGGATCTGTGGACTTTCCAGATTCCAGCCCCCTTCTCCCTGCTTCACATGCCTGTCTCTCACCAGTGTCTTACTGGGAACCATGAAGACCTGAGCATAGGGGAGGGCCGCAGCTGAGGAGCTAAGGACCCCTCGGGTCCCAGAAACTATTTTTCACTTGATCCTTCCACCGGGAAGACCAGGCTTCAGTTCTAATTTCGTTCTGTTTTTATGAGAGGTCCCAGCCATCACCCAATCCTCTTCAGCCTCGGGTGCATTCCAGTCTCGCCTCTCCCTGGCTGCCTAGGGGGCCAGAAGGGAGGAGGACTGTGCAGGGAGGCAGTTTTCATGCCTCTAGGCCCCTGGCTTCATCCCTTGATAGCTGAAGGCCTCAGAGAGAAACTCCCATCCTCTCCCTTCCTCATGTGAACTCTTGGCAGGAGACTGCAAAGACATCTGCTGACCCAGGGTGGGGGCAAGACTGTTCCTAATCACGCCCAGCCCCACAGCTCTGCCCCAGAAGCCCTGTGATCAAGGGAGGAAGAGTTCAGAAGATCTCTCCACTGCCTCAGGCCAGCCCAGCTTCTTAGGTCCTGCCCCCCTCCCCAACCCCCATTATTCACTACAGCCATGTGCTCTCTCCTGAGTTCTTTTACTCCCTTTAGACCTGCTGCCTTAAAGAGATCTAGGGAGTATGTTAGGGCAACCTGGGACCCAGAGATGGGAAGCTGGGAATGTCTGTCCCCTGGGACCAAACGCTTGGCTTGGTAGACATCTTGCCCCGGAGTGGGTCCAAAGAGTCCAGAGGCCTCAGCTGAAGGCCATAGGATCTAGGGTGCTTTGGGACTTCCCATCAGTGGGCCTTTGGTGGGTTGGCCGAGCTGTACATCAAAAAGGCAGAGTTGGATCTTCATGGTATGATGAACTGAGACAGCAGCCCAAGTTCAAGTACCAGTTTTGCTATTAACTGGTCGTGTGACCTTGGGCCAACCACTTCTATTCTGTCAGATGGGGGCACTGGGCCAGTTGGTCTCTCAAGGCCCTTCTAGTAGGGTGAGGATTGGGCTTGGAGGGGATCAGGGGACTGAGGCTCAGAACCCTCAGGCAAACTGAGGGATAGGGACGAGGCTCTGAGCCCTTTGGTTCAACCCAGCTGCAACCAATGTGGGGGATGATGGACATAAGCTTGTGCTGGGGTTCCTGGCTCACCCCAGCCTGCCTCCGCAGATGGACCCTGTGCAGAAGGCTGTGCTCTCCCACACTTTTGGGGGACCCTTGCTCAAGACCAAGCGGCCCATCATTTCCTGTAATGTCTGTCAGATCCGCTTCAATTCGCAGGTAAGAAGACTTGCTGCTCCAAATGGGTGGGGCAGCAGTAGCCTGGAGATCTCGGGAGAGCAGAGGGCAGAGGAGCTCGGGGCGAGGGGGGGGGGAGGCAGAGATAAAGGGGATATCGGGAAGAGCAGGGAATGGGGACACTGTAGGAGGGGCAGGGGCGGATGGAAGGCACTTGAGAGGGACAAGCGGTGGCTGTAATTTCAACGTGAAGTCGGCCAGTCCTCTCAGGTTGACCCTTCCCTCCCTTGGGGACTGAGGCATCCCTGGCTCAGAATTTCCTAGAACACAGGTGGCCATCATGTCTGGGTGCAAGAGTGGCCTCTGGCCCACTGGTCCTTGGGCACTGGGCTGAGTTAGGTCATTGACTCCCCTGCAGAGCCTGTGCCCTCCGGGGCCTCTGCTAAACTCCTCCCCTGGTCCACCCACTTCACTCTAACCTGGCTTCCTCCTCTGTCTGTCCTTTCCCGTGGGGGACTTTCCATGGAGAGAAGCCACCCAAAACGCAGAACCTAGGTGTCCCGCCTCCCAGCTGTCCTGTCCTCCTTGTGAGGCTCCCTCGGGACTTCTGTGTGGGTCTAGAGGAGACTTTGTGGGGGGCAGGTTCTGAGAGCTTTTGGAGAAAAACAGCAGAGCCTCATTCTGCTGAGTAGGGGGAAATAAAGCACGTTCTGTTTCTCTACCCAGTCCACACGCGCGCGCGCACACACCCACCATGCTGCCAGGCTCCGCACACCACTGCCTCACCCCTGGGGTATCAGTTTTCTTTCCCTACCTATCCATACTTTTTATTTCTACTCTATCCCTGTCTGGGTGACCTTGTGGCTCCAGAACTGTATGTTCTAGGCAGGAGGTGCACGTGGGGGTGGGGGTGGAACCAGGACCAACCCAGCTTTAGGCCTCTCGGTTACCTCAACCCCAGGCATCCCCTCTCCCAACCCTGGCTTCACTCCCTGGTGGAGGGTGGAGGACTAGAGGGGCAGGGGGCCAATAGTAGGCAGCCCTCCACTTCCCTCCCCCACCAAGTGGCTCTGTTTTGACAGCTGTCTCTGCTGCTGTCTCTATCTCCAGAGCTGGGCTTGGGGCCAGGGTCCTCCAGGGTGTCCACAGAGGCTTCAGGAAAAATGAGAACCAGGGGGGAGTAGTCAGGGTAGGGCCCAGGCCTCAGGGCTCTTGGGACTCTTAGCCTGAGTGTAGAAGCAGTGCAGCCTGGATCCAGAGGCCGGGAGACACGACACACGCATAGAAGGCCAGGGGGCCAAGAGACTGCTAGCTGGCTGGATTGCTGGTCCCCTCCCATTTAGAATTCTATTATAGGTTGGGGTAACCCTCCCTCACCCAAAACTAGGTGAGAAGCCTGAGTCAGCAGCCAGGCCCTGGGTGTGGTGGTAGGGTGGAGTCTGGGCTAGGTGAGGATCCAGGTTCCCAGCAACTCAAGGTTGAGAAGCTAGTCTGAGCCCCAGGAAAAACCAGGGCTCCTCGGCATGGCTTTACATCCCACTGCAGCCTCCTGAGACCACCCCGAGGACCTGAAGGAACTCTGTGGGGAGCATGGTCGGATGAAAGGTGATCTCAGATTCCCTTTTTTTCTTTCATCCCTAAAGAGCCAGGCTGAGGCACACTACAAGGGTAATCGCCACGCCCGAAGAGTCAAAGGCATCGAGGCTGCCAAGACTCGAGGCAGGGAGCCTGGCGTCCGGGAACCTGGAGACCCAGCTCCCCCAGGCAGCACCCCCCCAAATGGGGATGGCGTAGCCCCCCGTCCAGGTGTGTCTGAATACCCCAACATTGTTCAACTGCTCTTGTCTCTGTTCTTTGCCCGCTTCCCAGAATTCTCTGCTTTCATCTCTCTCTTCCTCAACACCCCCCCCCACCCCTACCCAAGGTGAGTCCTGGAGCCAAACACAGTGATACAAAATTTCCATCCTGTCACCCGTACTCCCGCCCCAGCTCCTCTCAACAGAGTCCCCACTGTCTGTCCTCCCCACCGCCCAGTGACTCAGAGAGGGGCTAGGGTGAGGCCACCTGGCAAACTTCCTCAAGAAAAAGGGAACCATCAAATCTAGGGAGAGGCCTCTTCATCTTGGGGAGAGGGACAGGGAGGGAATCAGGATATCTGAGGGCCTGCCCACTGGGCTTCCCCTTGGGGAGACTGAGAGCTCAGGACACTCAAGCAACACCCCGGATGATCTTGGTTGATCTTTTGACCTCTCTGGCCCAGTCTGCATCCTGGGAGTGAGACCTTAAGATCTTGGAGGTCTTTCCCAGGTTTACAAAAAGCAACTCTGAGACTTTCTCCCTCATGGCTGGTGGCCATCTTCAGTCCTACTCCCAGCCAAGAAATTGGAAGGAAGGAATATCAAGACAGGAGAATATGAGCCCCCCTCATGCTGGGATTGCCACATCAGATATCAGTCATGATCAACTCCAGAAAGACTGAACATCCCCATTTCCTCCTTATCCTTGCCTGTCCTTTCGGCCCCACCCCAAGTAGAATGAGAACCAGGCATCCACATCAGCAGCTTGGGAACCAGGATCCCACTGTCAACGCGCACACACACACACACACACACACACATACATACGTCCCTCAGGGATGCACAGATAGGGCAGGCAGGTGAGCTGAGTTCTAATTGTGCTCTGGCTGCTCTTAGCCTGGTCACCTTTTTTTAACTTGGCAACATCTCTGCGAAATGGGGATGACTCTGATAGTGGTGGTGGTAGATAACATTTCATGTTCTGGGTGCTTTATGCGTATTACCTCATTTAGTTAGTTCCGACAGGATATCTCTAAGGAGATAATGATACCTGCCCTACTTTTGTAAACCACGAAGCCCTGTCCAGTTTGAGACGTGGGTGTGCTATCTGGATCGGAATGGAGGTCAAGGATGTCAAACGAGTAAGAGAAATAAAGGGAAAGATCACAGGATGGACAAGCAAAGGGACACGTGCAGGGGTCAGGAGGTCCCTTGCTGCCAGTGCCCCACCCCCACTGCCTGCGGTCTCACAACCCGGAAACTGGATCGGCTGCTGGAGCAAGAATGGGAGTGCTAGAGTTTCCCCTGTACAGAGGCCAGAACCCAGCGCTGAGGCCTGGGGCCTGTGCATCTTTAATCAAGCCATGAATTATAGAGCAGCCTGCATCCCTGTTCCCTCTCCAGTTCTGCTGTTTCTGTTTCCCTTTTGCCGTGTCTGCGACTGTCTCTCTCGACCTCTCCTCACGCTGCCTCTGCCCCTTCCTAGAGCTCTCTGGCATGCCTCCCTGGGGACTGGGCAGGACTCTGGGAAGGGGCTGGCCAGGCAGGAAGCCCAGGCTGGCTGGCAGGCACTGAGGGGTGAATCCTTGTTCCATGCCTCTCCCCAGGGCTAGGCTGGCTGCCAGCTTCAACCTGAAGGGGAAGCCACTGCGGCTGGACCCCTCAACCATTCCCAGCTTCTCGAGAATGGGCCAGGCACTGGAGCCTCACACCCAGCCTGCAGCAGCTAGACCACATCTGGCTCGGGCCCAGGGCATGAGAGCATGCATGTTGTCACAGGGTGGGGACTCCTGGGCCCTTGCCCTCCAGGAAATGGGGGTGGGTTTCCTCCACATAAAGAATCTCCTCCAAAAACCATCTGAGGTGACCCCTATGTTTCTCCCCCCACAACAGTCTCCATGGAGAATGGACTGGGTCCAGCCCCAGGATCCCCAGAGAAACAGCCTGGCTCCCCATCCCCTCCCAGCATTCCGGAGACTGGTCAGGGTACAACCAAGGGCGAAGGGGGCACTCCAGCCCCAGCTTCCCTGCCTGGAGGCAGCAAGGAAGAGGAGGAAAAGGCCAAGCGGCTGCTCTACTGTGCCCTGTGCAAGGTGGCAGTGAACTCCCTGTCCCAGCTTGAGGCTCATAACAAAGGTAAGGACTCTCCCACCCCGACCCCTATTCCCCTATCCTCAGCCCACTCCTGCTCCCCACCTCTAATGCCCCTGGCTTCCAACATCCGGGCCCCTCCAAGACTCACCAGCCTATCTCCCTCCCTAATCATCTCCCACTTACTTCTTCAGTCCCCCCCTCTGCTTAACTCCTCGACCTGTGACCCTCCCCTGACCTACCTTGTGTTTGGGGGTGTCCCAAGGGGATTGGAAAACCCCCACACTTGATGCTTCCCCCTATTTTAATTGGGAAGGTGGGTATTTGCTGCCGAGGAGGCCTGGAGAAGTCTTCCTCCACCCCTTACCTTCTGCCCTCTGTGGGCCCCAGGTACTAAGCACAAGACAATTCTGGAGGCCAGAAGTGGGCTGGGCCCCATCAAAGCTTACCCTCGTCTGGGGCCCCCCACTCCTGGGGAACCAGAGGCCCCTGCCCAGGACCGAACCTTCCACTGTGAGATCTGCAATGTCAAGGTCAACTCGGAGGTCCAACTGAAACAGGTGGGTCCAAGGCCTTTCCTGGGAATTCTAGGGAGCTCTACTCACAAACAGGGAGCTTGGGTGAGGGCGCTTCTCTCAGGTCCTTTCCTTGGGACCACAGAAGGGGCGGGGCCAGGTGTTTTGGGTGTGCCTACCCGCTCGTCGGTTACTCCTTTCCGGGTGGCTCACAGCCCCTTACCCACTGCCCCTCCCTACCCACCCC